GTGTGTCCAAGTATCTGAAGGGAGGGTGTCGAGAGGATGGGGCCAGACTCTTCTCCGTGGTGCCCCGCGACAGGACAAGAGGCAATGGGCAGAAACTGAACCACAGGAAGGTCCGTCTGAACCTGAGGAAAAACTTCTTGCCTGTGAGGGTGACAGAGCACTGGCACAGGTTGCCCAGAGAGGTTGATTCACAACAAACCCCAAAGAGAGACTGCTAAAAAATAGAAGTTAAAAAGCAGGCAACATTCTGTGTAAATTAACAAGTTACACAGAGAATGCATATCCAATGCCTCCTGAGGAACAGGAGATGCATCTTTTGCTAGGCGCTTCCTGGGATCAGGACTTCAGCAAACTCAAAAGTGTTAAATACGGTTCACAGACAAAACCGTCTGTATGTTTTTCAAAGCAAGAATACAGCATACTCAAATAGCACAACCAGCTCAATTAGCAAATTGATCAGAGAACCTTATAGCTGATAAGTGGGATAAAGGAAAAACATTAACAAAAGCTGTAAAATCATAGCTCTACAGGTGAAATCATGGACAGCCTAAGAACACAACAGATAAATAACCAGATAAGAGCAGAGTACCCGTAGGCTATAGACTAGTAAAAATCTACGCAAGATAGTGGTGGTATTGTACAGTCGGTAGGAAGACAGGGAGACACCTAAATGTACCCTGTAGATACAGTGTATGAACTGAAGACAATGTGCTCTTAATTACTGTGTTTTGGGTGTATGCTTAACATAAGCATAAAATAATGCACTGTTTAAAACATACATGATGATTAGCATGAAAGGAATCTCTCAGACATACAGAGAGCGGTGCTGTCTTGGTTTGCTAATCAGTTAGACTGTATTCTGTTTGATCACCTGTTGTTTATCCCATGGCACCATACAAAGCATCCTATACGAAGAATCCAACATTGAGCTGCGCAGATGCATTAAGCTGAATGTTTCAGGCCTGTTTCTGATCTGTGCTTTTTAGACGCTGGAGCAGTCAGCTCACCAAGAAGAGAATGAGGTAAAACATAGCAGAAACAGACAACAAGCTCAAAAAGCATCTTCAGAGTCTAAACAACTAACCTCTTTCCTGTTACTACAGATGTCGAGTCCCAAACTCTGCTTCATCAGCTCTCAGGTGCAAAGCAAGTAGAGGCCAACAGCAGGTCAGCAAGCCTCAAAGTGTGCAAACACAGCAGGGGTATTTTTCAAACAACCAACTAAACTTCACAACAGTTCCAGTAAACCTCCCTATGCCATTTCAATTATCAATTAGCAAGCAATTAAAATTTGCAGGATTGCAGATGATGGTGGGCACATGCTCTTAAACACGTAATAAAACTCTCACTCTCTTGAGGAGCTCAGGAAAGTGCTTGTTTCATCCTAACGACCTACATCTTAATCCTCTCTTTAGTCCATTCAGATCTGCAGGCTCCAAAGCAGCCCTGAAGAGAACGAAACTGTTCTGCATTAGGTCTACCCTACAGCAGTTCACACATTAACTTCTTCGCCTGTATTCTTCATCTTCTTTCAATGCAGTTGTAGCTGGGGAAGGAGAAATTGAAACTAATCAAGACAAAAAGGATAATGAAATCCAGCTGAAAGCTCCTGTAAGCCTTACAGTGACCATGCTAAAGCTGCAACCAGAAGCTAGATGAAGACATACATGACTGTACATGCCAGGTTACATGCAACACAACACAAAACAGTTCCATCAAATTCTTAACAGAGACACTGCAATGACAACCCAAAGAGGCAGATGATTCAGTCGTCAGTGTGTGTGTCTGGGATGCTGGGCTCAACAGTGTCTGACTTCCTTGCAGTACAGTTCCATCCTATGCTTCCGATTCATACAGTCATTTATTGCAAGAATCTCCTTAAGGGAACTGTGACAGTTACTGAAGAAAAGGATGGCTGTTTAAATTGGTAGCTTCAAACCATTTTAGCTCAGCCATTAAAATATGTTTCACCTTCAGCCAGGACACCAGTGCCAGAGCTGGCATAATGAACATGTAAGACTACAGAACTGGTCCTGAGGGCAGGAAGGAGTAGTGGGCTCTTGAATTTTCTCAGCAGGCAACATTCTGTGTAAATTAACAAGTTACACAGAGAATGCATGTCTAATGCCTCCTGAGGAACAGGAGATGCGCCTTTTGCTAGGCACTTGCTGAGATCAGGACTTTAACAAACTCAAAAGTGTTAAATACGGTTCACAGCCAAAACTCAGCTGTCGTATCTTCTGCTGCAGCAAGTGCACTTAACAAGTCTCATTTCAGTGTGCTTTTAACATGGATAGAAACATATTAACTAGCAATTTGCATTAAACTAGCAATTTGGTTGTTTATCACTGCATGCACTAGTTATACAGGCTCTGCCTTTGTACGGTCCAGGCAGAGAGGCACTCACCATAGCTCTAAGAGGACTTCTTGCTGTTTAGCTCAGGCCTTCTCCACAGCTGTAAGAAAACTATCAAGGGTGAAGGTGTTACAGGTTTAAACAGCTTGTTTACTCAGAATTTATGCATATATTTTCTTCCATCCTAGTGTTACAAATCCACTGCACATTTCCAAGTTATAGCTCCATTTCTGCCCAGTTTCCCTTTAATTTCTCTAATCGGAACAGCTTTCTGTTCCAGAATATCATGTTTCAGAATATCATTGTATCTGAGATTACTTATCAAATCTGCCAGGCCTGTGCTCTCAATGATTCTCAGATATCACTTTCCCCCATATTTGACTCCTGAAACATAATTTACAAGGAATTCCAGTGTACCTCACCTCCAGTCAAGGTTGCCTCACATGAAGATCAAGAGTCTTGGTGCAGATTTTGTGGGAAGATATATTTTCCAAGCACACATATAGCATTTGAAATAACACATCTCACTTTGATCAGAAAGTGCCAAAACCAACAATGGCTGTATTACCTAATTTCAGATGAATTGCAACAGCAGCCAATTTCTCCTAGCCAATTTTCTCCTCCAATGGTCGTCTTCCTTCTTTTCCTCTTGAATTCCTGAACACCTCACTTGAAGCATTTTGAAACACCCAACACAAACAGCTAGGGAAAACAAAGATATTTTCCCGCTTTTTAAAAAATTTATTGTGAAGAAATCCAATAGGAATACTAAGACTGGTAGGGCTGGGCTGGAGACTGTGTATGAGTGTCTGGGTATGGAGGCACCTGTAAGAACAAGAGGCAGGAGAAGGGCTCCAAGAAGGACAGGTGTTGATGGCACCCATGTACAGCTTCTCAGGACATCCAGTTCAGGAAATAAAGCCTAAAGGAGAGAACAATCTACATCCAGATTAAAGAAAAGACTCAGGCCAGTAAGAGATGATGATGGGAAGCCAGAGAACACTGTAGGAGCCATGAGACACCCAAACGCCTAGAGGTGGAACAGGAAGGAGATAAATCGTGACCACTGTCAATTCCTAAAGAGTACAAAAGGCAGATTTAGAACCAGCATATGACTGCCTGCCTAAGAAGAACCCAAGAGTAATGAAGAGAATTCAACAGTGTCTCATCCTCGGCATCCAAGGGAATCCTGGACTGATCACTTGGACACAAGCTTTTGGGTCCTACACACTGGACAGACATCTTGGGCACAACAGACCCTGTTACTTGAGAGGGTGTGGATAGGTGAATGTGAATAATAAGTCAATTTCGCTTCAGTTCTGTTCCAAAATAAAATCATCTTCCTATCCTAAAGGGCTTGGTATTGAGCTTTGTTACATTATTACAACATTATTTTTGGCTATTGATAACAAAACAGCAGAACAGAAGGACTTTGGAACAATAAAAACAGCAGGTGAACAGGCACAGGGTTCCTTACTTACATGCATGCACATTCAAAACGGTCCACAATATTCACTACACTAGACTAACAGACTGAGCAGTCCCTGCTTACCTTCAAAAATAAAAGGTTCTTCACCGGTTATTGATAAGTTTTTTCTACACTGTCATCAGCAACGTATCTTGAACTACCTCTCTCCAAAATTGCTGCAGCAGGGTGATTAACATCGGTTTTCTGCTGCTAGACAAGCCATAAAGTCCCATAGCCCTAAACCACTCTGCTGCCACTATGCAGAGAGCCTTCCATCTTCCTTTTAGGCACTTCTGATCCAGAAAAATCAGAGAAGTGTTAATGCTATGTGATATTGCTGCAGTCCAACCTGATCACTGAGTCACTTGTCCTTTAAAGCACTTCTGAACATCAAGAGGCTGAAGGACAGGGCTAAGACTGAGGGCTAACTTTCACCGTTTGACTAGGTAGGGAACCTATCAGAAAGCCCATCCCTCCATTTACGTAGAACAAGCCAGTAATTCAGAGTCTACAATTTTTGTTTCCTATAAAAGTGATGTGATGCATACAGGAGTGTGACACTAACTTTTTTCCCCCTCTCCCTGGCAATTATTTGAGTCATTTGTCTAATCAGCTTTTCTGAAACTGACTCCCAAACGCAGAAGTATCACATGAATAAACCTAAGGCCACCAGAAGAGACCTAGAGAGATATTTGTGCACAAACAATTAACTCTAGGTTTTCTATAAAATAGGGAAACAGCTGGAAATGAAGAAAGGCTGCGAGAGCTGGGCCTGTTCAGCCTGGAGAAGAGAAGACTGAGAGGCGATCTCCTCCGTGTGTCCAAGTATCTGAAGGGAGGGTGTCGAGAGGATGGGGCCAGACTCTTCTCCGTGGTGCCCAGTGACAGGACAAGAGGCAACGGGCAGAAACTGAACCACAGGAAGGTCCGTCTGAACCTGAGGAGAAACTTCTTGCCTGTGAGGGTGACAGAGTACTGGCACAGGTTGCCCAGAGAGGTGGTGGAGTCTCCTTTGCTGGAGATATTCAAAACCCACCTGCACGCTGTCCTGTGCAATGTGCTCTAGATGACCCTGTTTGGGCAGAGGGGTTGGTCTAGGTGATCTTCAGAGGTGCCTTCCAACCTCGGCCATTCTGTGAAATCCACTATGTGAGTGAAGTATCCTTCCAAATGAGTGTCTGGTCTACATCAGTTTCGTCGCCCAATCTGAGGTGGTCAGTAATGCAATGGAAAAATTTTATCTGCTCGTTAACTTCACTGGAAAGGCAACAACCCCCTCCATTACCCAAGGCGACAGGATGTGATCGAGTGTTAGCTCAGCTTGTGTATTGCTAGAAAGATTATAAAACTATGCTCAGCAGAAAAATTCCTTCTGCTGGCCTGTGCTGTGTAAAGTTTTAAAACTGCGTTTAACAATCCTAAGGGACTATGAAAAGCAGTCACATCTAACCAGTAGGCTATTAGTTATAATGTCTACAGCTTCTCTGAATATTTTTAAGGCCCTTAAAATGTAAACCGGGCCAAAAAAAAAAGTGTTTAGGAGTCTAGGAAGCATTGATCCACATGCTTATAAGATATCGCTTGCTGCTATTCCCTGTGAGCAGCAGTATTGAGCTTCTCAGATGCATAGATTGAATGTGCTACCAAAAAATAAGGAAAGAAATGCCTTGAGCAACAATGGAGTAGGGAGAATGGGAGAAGAAAGAATTAACAGTGATATTCCTAAGGAAAATTAAGTAGACTAGTAAACATGAAGTTGGTATATTGCTGGGAAAGTTAAACCACACCAATGCAGTCACAGACCTCCCTGCCCCCAAACTAGGCATGTTTACCCATTCAACATTTAGCAAGTTAAGGATGGGAAAACCCTCCCACTAATAATGCATGTCTCAAAGGCACTAAATTTAGAAATATTGACAATTGCTTCCTTGTTTCACAAGTAATACCAGTAAAAGTTAAAAACAAGGGAGGAGTATCCAATAGTGGCTATGAGTTTGTACTTAAGGAGCTCCCCCCATATAAGGAAAAGATGACAAGAAAAAGGTCAATGTGTTACTGATAAATAACTTCTTTAATATTTTCACTCAAATATTCTAGTATTACAGTGGTAAACAAAGTGCAAGTTTTCAGAAAGTCAACTTGAAGTCAATAGAACCCAAACTTGTTAAATAAAATGTTTCAAAGAACAGAAGCAGATTTTTCAAATTTATCACCTTCATATCTTCAAGGCCATGTAAGAACAGTTAAAATTCTCTTCAAAAGCTTGTTACTTTTTATTGCTAAGGAATCTGAGTTGCTACATTTCAGAAGTTGTGATTAATTAACCTTTGAAAACTCCACAAGATCTTGAGAAACAAAGTCATGAATCCATATATCAGTATCTGGAAGAGATGTGTCCACTAAATAAGTCACTATTTTTCGATCCCAAGAATTAGTGCTTTCATTAACTGCCTGTATCAGCGCGACCAAGGGTTTCTTCTCTACACGATTCCGAAACACTACTGATGCCTCTTCCGACCACTGCTGGCTTTTCACTCCTATGACAAATATAATGCAAAACAGAAGGTCATTTTTAAACTAGACTCATCTGGATCATCTAGTTTATAAAGAATTGGGGCAAGTTTAAATACTTGACAAAACAGATATTTCAAGGAAGCGCAACTGAAAGCGGCTTAGCTCTAGAAAAGACGCTGGCTCACTTATCTCCCATGCAAATAAGGTTAACTACAGAGAACAGGCCATTTATTTTTTCTTGAAGTTTTAAGATAAGGACAAGTTCGCAAAAGTGAAAGGCAAATGGTTTGACTCACTGTATATTTCAAATTGTACTAGCTACCATGTACTATCAAGCCATGTTACCCAGACAAATCAGATATCTGCAAAGATCTTTTCAAAAGAAATCGAAGCTTTCTTATTCTGGCTAATGTTGCTAAAATTATTTATATTAAGAGGTTTGTTTTAGATCAAGTTTTCTTCATCTCAAAGCAACACCAGCTACTAAAGTATCTGCCAAATCTGTGAGTCCCAAGGTACATCTGCAGAGCGCAGAACTAAAGAGAAATGCCTCCCAACTCCTGTTACTCTTTGACATTAGCATCCCACAAAGCAGGTCTGCTCAGGGATGTGACATGAGCATACAAACAGGATTTTGAATGTGGCTGTCACCCACCAAGACGTGACTGCTGCAGACTTGGTCTTCCCAGACCACAGCTGGCGTGCAGTAGCTAGACACAAGGAGCTCAAACATTGTAGATGAAAATCCAAGCAGCAAGTTACAGATAAAAGCAGCAAAGTAGCAAAGTGATGGCACTTGACTTTCACTATTAGCAGCCGCTTGCTACTGATAGGACAAGACAATACAGACACCCAGCTCCTGCAGGTTACAGAAGGAATGAGAAGTCAGCAGTTGAAAAAAGGTAATCAATACTAGGAAAGGCTACAGTGGGGAAGCAAAAGAGATTCTATAAGAAAATATACTAGGGCGTGAGAGCAAACAGACATGAAAAAGAGAGCAAGAGTGCAAGAACAAATAGTAGCAAATAGCTACTGGTTGTCTGGGCTTTACTGGACTGCTTGGCAATATGATTCAGCTTGGAGGTCAACTTAACTAGCTCTGAATTCTCTGAAGTGGGAAAACTGGATGACTTGCTGGCTTGCTCAGCTGTATCCTGTACTACCCTAGTAGACAGCCACAACTAGAAATCAGCTTCATTTCAGCACTGCCCTCCTAGGGCCCGAACCTAGTGGGAACACAGCCAACTTGACTAATTTAAAGCAAACCTCAAGGTCACACAGAGGCTATTCAGGAAAGCAGATCCCGCTATCAGAGCGCCAACTTTGTGGCCTGTCAATTTTTTAAAGCACGTTTAAGCACATTTTCTAAGTGAAGTCTAGATTGGTATTTACCAAAAAAAGGGGTGAAAAGTAGCAGCCAAATAAGAACAGATACTTTCGAAAGCAATGCGGAAGTGACAGAAATTTAGAAAAGGAAAAAAGATAGCAAGCAGAGACCAACTTGTACTTTAAAAAAAAAAAAAACTATCAGATGTATGCACATTCCCTATGCATAATTTTCTCAGTCCAAATGTTTTGCTTAAATTTGGCCAAAGCCTCCCTGTCCTGCCTCCCCCTCCCCTCTCCCTCCACCCCCCCACTTCTCCAGAAGTTAACATCTAGTCCCTAAGGTGTTTACGTAGGCTAGGATAACCAGAATGCCAGGTCTTATAAACAGATATATCATAAGTTTTACACTTTATACCAGGTACTCTTTCTAAGGATCTGAAAGCCATTCAATTTTGATTTTCCCCCTTCTTTGCAAATTAAATAGCCAATTTAAATGATTAATATTAGTGATACTGAAAATCAGCTGCTGGAAAGGTTAAGCAATCTTGGGTTTTATATATGGTAATTAAAAATATTCTAACCATTGCATTAAAACAGGACTAACAAAACAGAACCATCACCACCTACATAAAGAAGAAAAGTAGAGCTACTTTGTTGGCATAAGTATGCATGCATTATGTAGGTTTCTCTGAGCGGATACATACTTACTTTAGCCTTTAGTACCTGCCACCAGCCTTTAGCTTTGTCACCTTAACATTTCTACTCTTTTACTCTTTTGGTAGCCCTACTGCTTTATGACTTTAGCCAACAAAATTGTAAATCCTTATTACCTACCTGCAAGCTGAGCTATTATAGCTTGAAAAGGTAGTTTTCTAAACGCATCCATGAGTGGCTGTACTTTCTTCATGCTGACAAGCTCATGTTTACCATAGTCCAGCTCATAAACAGACAACAACCCGTTTGTAAGAATTCCTTTTATCATCACCCTGTACCACCTAAAAAGGGGGAGAATAAGAGTACAGGAGTTGCATTAGTATTCACACACAGCCAAGGTACCAGAATAAGCTACCTATGCACACACATACACAAACTTCCTTACAGGCCTATCTCAGGCTTCCCAGATCTGGCATAAACTGAACAGACATCAACTCTTCCAACTGTGATCTGGAAGCATGAACCCCATTTACTCCCTTAATCTCTCACAGAATCACAGAATCGTTTAGGTTGGAAGGGACCTCTGGAGATCACCTAGTCCAACCTCCCTGTTCAAGCAGGGACCTCTAGAGCATATTGCCCAGGATCACATCCAGACGGCTTTTGAATATCTCCAGCGAAGGAGACTCCACCACCTCTCTGGGCAACCTGTGCCACTGCTCTGTCACCCTCACAGGCAAGAAGTTTTTCCTCATGTTCAGATGGAACTTCCTGTGGTTCAGTTTCTGCCTGTTGCCTCTTGTCCTGTTGCTGGGCACCACGGAGAAGAGGC